TTATTTCTGATTTCATTTTTTCCAGATCCTCTTTTGTTGCCAGTTCAGGGAGTCCAGGTGGTTGAGTATCAGAGTGTTCCATCTTGTTTCCCTTTGGGGTTGTTGTAGGTGATCTGGAAGTCTGTTTTTGAGGCTTGTTTACATGTCTTCTCATTTCCACGGAGGCAGGGGGTGCTGCTGGCACCCACATGGCTCACCTCCTGTGTGCTGGCAGGGGTAGTATGGCAGCCCAGAGGCCTCCTCTTGTGCGCTGGGAGTGGCTCGCCTCCTGTGTGCTGGTGGGGGTCAGGAATAAGTAATTCTATAAAAACAACTAATATAATAGATATATCATCTGTTCCCCTGTTGTAGGGTGTAGGGAGGTAGGCTGACAATAGACAAAAGGCAGAAGAGAGGACCCTGTCCTCCCATCCCATCAGAGATGCACTTAATCTAGAGATGCACTTTCTGCTTACTAAATATTCACAAAAATAGGACCACCCTAACCAGGTTCAGTTATTTAGGGTATAAATAAACCTAGCTAAATTGCTTTACTTTTTGAGACTAAGAGATCATTTACTTAATTAGAATGTCATTCATTTAAATCTTCCCATGGACCTTATGCTGGAGGTTACTGTCATGTTCACAGAGAAGAGGATGAAGACTTGGATAACTTAAACAGCTCAACCATATTCTAATTCTCAGTTAGTATTTAAAATTGGGGCTGCCATTCTAGAAACTGGAAATATTTCATCCATGCTGGCTCTTGGGCCCACTTGAATCAACTATATTGTCTGTGAAGAGCTCAGACCCCAGGAGGAGGGCAGAGACTATTTTGGAGAAATGGCGCATGCTGAGGGGCAAGGGACTCAGGTTGCAATGTAAAGTCAGTTCAGTGCAGTCAACAACTGTTTACTAAGCACAGACTTGGTAATGTAAATATCCCTGTAGGTTCTACTGGCTTGTGGATTCTTGATGGTTACAATAATGATGATAAAGATAGCCTGGTGTTACTGTGTCAGATACTATCCTAATTCATTCCAATGTAAGAACTCATGCCATCTTCACAAGTCTTACAACAGAAGCTGTTATTATTGTTATTACTGACAGGCACTAAAGCAAAGAGAAATGAAACAACCTGCCCAAGGTCACCAGCAAGAGTTACAGGTGGATCTGGGACTCAAAACCAGAGAGGCTGAGTGCTGAGTCAGTGTACCTGACCTCATGTTATGTACCTTTCCAGGCTACTGAATTGACAAATTTGGCTTGTCCTATGTCTGTTGGCCTAGAAACTATTCCCCTAGGCCTCCTCTATGACTTACCTTCTTCTGCTCCAGCCACTACTCCAACCACTTCCCAACTGATGTTCTGCTTACCTGTATGGATATGCCGTGGTTTACTATGCTGCTGATGGCTGATTGTATGTGTTACTTTTCAGAGTCCTTGGGATGTCTTTGCTCCCTGCTAGATCTATATGAATAGTGGATAGCTGTTTCCCCCAATCTCCCCAACTTCCATGTAGCCAAAATTAGTCTTCAGAGAGAACCAAGTAGTCTGTGTTCAAGCAGGGCAGCATGGTTCTCAAGCTGATGTGTATAGGAGAATCATTGTGGGTAAGGGATGATGCCTGCTTAAAATGCAGATCCCCATGCCCCATGGGAAATTCTCAACTTGTAGATTTGGGGAAGGGCTGGCTATTCTGAGGCAGGAGGCTCACCCTTGGCCATGAGAGAAGTTGACAGCAGGGAAATATGTTCTCCCCTTTATATCTCCCCTTTGGAAGGCCCATACTCCCTCCCAGGGTATCATTTCATGCTGTCTTAGTCTATTGGGGATGCTGTAGTAAACACCATAGACTAGATGGATTATAAACAACAGAAATTTACTTCTTACAGCCTTAGAGATTGAGAAATCCAACATCAAGGTGCCAGCGGATTCAGTGTCTTGTGAGATCAGGCTTCCTATGTTATCGATGGTGCTTTCCTTGTGTAACCTCCTCACACAGTGGAAGGGGCAATGCAGCTCTCTGAGGCCCCTTATGTAAATCAGTCATTCCATCCATGAGGATTCTGCCCTCATGGTCTAACACTTTCCAAAGGTCCATTTCCTGATGCCAGCACATTGAGGGTTAGGTTCCAACAGATACATTCGGGGTGGGCAGTGGTGGGAATGGGAAAGCACCCACACTACTGTTTTCTTCTGTCCAGGCCCCATTCCCAGGGCTGGCCCAGAGAGTGGTCCACATGCATCTTTCTCACTGATGGTGATCCATTGTCCTCTGGGACCCAAGGCAAATTAAGATGACTCCAACACCATCACAGAATGCCCAACTCTGCTAAATGGCCATTCAAGGCCTCGGCCTTGACCCAGGCAGAAGCAGCATGCCAGGCCCAGAGCATACAAGGAGGGAGGTATCCTGCTAGATCTGTATGGGTAGTCGATAGCTACCAGGGACTTAGTTGTTGGTAGGTAGTCAGATGCACAGACAGATTATCTCAGTACCAGATGGAAAGACATTCACAGAGAAGTATGCACTGGGTTTCCTGGGAGCACAGGGAAAGGGCCTTTTGCCCCACATGCCTAACATTCAGGGAAATTTTCTAAGAAACCAACACTTGATGTGGCTTTGAAGGACTAGTAATTATCTAGGTTAGGGGATACAAACCACATCCATAGGAATGGTCCAGCCTGTCATCTGTTCTATATGACTAAAGATAGTATTTACATTTTAAGTGACTGAAAAACAATAAAAGATAGGTGATAGTTCACAATACATGGTAATGATATAAAATTGCACTTTCAATTTCTGTAAAAGCCAGTTTTATTGGAAGACAGCCACACTTGTTTGTTTATATGTTATCTGTGACTGCTTTTGTGAGTTGAGTTTTGCAACAGAGACTGTATGGCCTGCGGAGATTCAAATATTTACTCTCTAGCTGTTTGAATAGGAGTGTGCAACCTTTGGTCCATGTGGAAGGGGTGCCCTGGGCAGAGGCAGAACTCCAGAAAACAGTGTATGGAAAACTGCCTGCTCTGAGCAGGAGGCTGAGGAAGAGAAGAGGCCAACAGAATGAGACAGGAGAGCCCAGTACTTCCCAAAAGGTACTTTTATTTTTCTTTCACGACTTTCCCAAATGTCTTGTAGCTGGCCTGGCCACAGCAGGTACCCCACAAGTCCCCTGGGACTTTGCTTTGGTAGTGGCAAGTTTCAGATGCAGACCTCTCATAGGGAATTCTACTCTGCAGTCTCTCTGATGATTCTGGCCCTCTGCAATCCTCCTCATTGAGGTCCTTGAGAGGCTTCTCCCCTGCCCATGACAAAATAGAAAGTCTGGCATTGTGCATGCATAAGCCTGCCTTTTTCCCTTTATAACCAGCCTCCCTCTACCCTTAGCATCTGTCTATGCACTGTTCCCTTCTATGGTGCAGCATAAGTCCTAATAAAGCCCCTTTTAGATGGACTATTTTTTTTCCTATTCATGATTTCTATCTATAATAGAGCATGCTTGGCAGGTACAGTAAGAGCTGGTAACACTAAAGGCCACTGACTCTGAAAGTGCCCACCACCTAGAGCTGGCAAAACTAAAAAAGACTAGCAACAGAGAATGACAGAGCAATGGAAAATTGCTGCCACTACAATCTCTGGTGGCTGGTAACTGCTGGCTCCAAGCAGCAAGAAGGGCCATTAGCACTAAAAGAGGTAATAGCCACTGGTACACAAAGCCTGGAGCTATTAACACTAAAAGGACTACATTTTACCAATTCATGATTTCTTTTTTTGGTACCAGGATCGAACTTGGAACCTTGTGCTTGAGAGGCTGGCGGTAGAACCGCTGAGCTAAATCCCCAGCCCCAATTCATGATTTCTATACAAAAAGTGAACAAAAGAATCCTCAGCTGATTGGTAACATCTTGGACCAGTAGTACAGGAACGCTTCACTTTAAATGGCAGTGAAGGAGCAGGCTCAAGAATCAGCCCACATCTGATTTCCATCTTACATGAAGCTAAAAATATCACACTACCTGTGAAATGAACTTAGGACCCATATTGGTGGGCGGCTGTGGGCATACTCAGATATGGCACTCAAATAATGGCGTGCACCAGAAAGAAAGGAGACATAGCAAAAAGAGCCAAAACTAAGGCCTAGGTTGGGAGATGTAGCAAGTTGGCCATTTATTATGTGAGGGGATGGAGGCCCAGAGATGGAAGAGCAGAAAGCACTGAAGGGGAGCCAAGGAAGGTGAAGAGACTGCTGCCCATCAGGTAGTTCTCCAGAAGCCGAGCAATCCCAGGTGTCTCTGTCACACCATCACTGCTCCTGCAGGGCTTAGCTTATATGAAGCAAGATCTACTCTTCATTAATGTATAGTCAATGCTTCCTAGAGTCAGATGGAGAAGAGTAAAATAGATCTGTCTAAAAGCTAGAGACCTCGAAGGAACCAACTGAGGGCCTGGATCCCATGGCGATGTCTCATGGACGTCTGTATCAAGGATCTTCTGGGAGAAGCCCCAAAGGCCAGTGGTGGAAGCTAAAAAGTCTGTGCTGGCGGGATGAAGGAACTGTGCCAGAAGGCTGAGGGATCTGCACTGGAGCCAGGTAGCAATGCTCAAGGCAAAGACCAGACCTCCCATGAAGAGAATAGCATCTATCCCTGGTGACAACAACGAGGACCCAAGGACCTGAACTCCTCTGACGAGGAGAACAGCCCATATCAGGAAAACCAGCCAGGGCAAGCTTCTCCAGGAAAATCAACAGCAGATAATCTTCCCCTCCCATTCTCCTTTTACGTTATTCTGGCAACAATCCTCAGGTGGGGCTTCCATGCCCAGAACCACAATGGCTCAGTTCAGCTGGGCATTCCTACTTAAACTGACCATTAATTAATCCACCACTATTACTTATTTTCCAAGTCCATGAGAAACATCTCCCATGGGAAGTTGCCCTTTTTGCATTTTCTCAGGTCAGGGACCTGAAAATATGGTAATTTACCTAAAAGATAATGCATAGTCAGTGAAGGACCATTATTAATATCACCCAGGATTGATCTACTGAGGCAAAATTAGGGCAAGGTCACCATGGGACAGTTTAGATGGCCAAATGTTGTCTTTTCTTTAATATTGATTGCCATTTGCTTTTTTTTTTTTTTTTTTTTTTGGTACTGGGGATCAAACTCGGAACCTTGCACTTGCAAGACAGGCGCTGGAACCACTGAGCTAAATCCCTAGCCCACCATTTGCATTTTATTCCAGAGGTAACTATTCTTACTTGGTCTGTGTCTCCCCTTGTGTGACTTTTGGTGTGGAATTGTGTCCATGTGTGGCAAACAGGTTAATTATCTCCTGTCCAGGGAGAAGTAGCGTAAACTGTTTTGCACTTGATAAACTCTCTAGATAATCATATCCAAAATCTTAGGCGGGGAGGACTGAGAATCCATGACTAACCCTGCAGTTATTTGGTAATTAATCCTTCAGATATTCTTCCAGTAAAGGCGTGGACCCTGTGAAGGACAGGCACTGTGGGAGGGTGGTGAGGAAGGATGGAACACTCCAGAGAGCCTCCTTAGCCTAAAGTGTACCTAAAGTCTGGGCATTAAGACAAGCAAAGTGATTAGGAAGCCAAATGAGAAATGCTTTCTCAGCGCTATTTTGCCTTCATTTACATTTTTGGGAGGGAATGAAGTCAGAATTATTTTTAAATAAGAAAGATGATAAAAGAAAACCAACCCATTAAAAGGTACAAGTTAAATATTCATAAGAACCAGCCCACATCCTTTCCAGGCAGTCTTCCAGGAGGTGGTGGGATGTCCTCCTCCTATGTAGGGCGGAGCTTCCATCTCACCTAGGGTTGGGGGTAAGGCTGTCCCCCGCCCCAGTTTAAGAGGCAGCCTTCACATCCATGTCTCAAATCAACCCTGCTTCACCTCTGAGCATTGCCTACCGTGTTCATATTTCCTCACTTTTTGGATCTCCTTTTCAAAGGATTGCCACAAATGCAGGCTTAAATTGGTTGAACTTGTCATTTTCTCCAAAGCAGCAAATTCTCACCATTTGTTTTATTTCTGGAAGGAGGACAAAAGCAGCAAAGCTGTGTTTAATGATTGACACCTGGGGGTGGGTCCTTCTGAAGCAACTGGGGGAGGGAAAAGGGACTATTATGTTTCCCCTGGGCATGAATGCCACCAAGATGAAACCAACTCCTGTGATTCTCCCACCACAATTAAAAGAGGTGAAAGATGACTTTTAAAAGCTCAGTCTACCATGGAAGAGGGTTTCAGTCACCAAAGTAGATTCCAAGCATGCATATGAATTAATAAATGATCAGAGAGCAAAGGGTATTAAAGTATTATTTAAGACCTTTCTTTACTTAATAATGACATAAAAGTATCATCTGTGAACAATGCAAAATGAAAATCAGGAATTCCTGTTCAAAAAAATTATTACAACTATAAAAGCAGATCAGTCAACCTAGAGCATTAAATCCTTTTGAATTCAGGGCCTTGTTCAGGTCTCAAATTCATGAAAGTTTAAGACAATTTTTAAAATATGTCCAATTTGCTAGCATTAATTCATCCACTAAGGATTTATCTTGTCCCAGGCCTGGTGGCCAATGAATGTAATCTTAGCACTCAGGGGGCTGAAAAATGAGGATTGCATGTTTGAGGCCCCAGACTGGGCTACATAGCAAGACCTGTCTCAAAAAAAAAAAAAAAAAAAAGGCTTATATAAGGACAGCAAGATTACACTGTCCTGAAATACTTTTTCTATGGCTTGCAAAAGAGTGAATTTGCCTAGAACATATATATCTACTTGGTTCAAACTAATGAAATGCTCTGGTTCAATCCATGAAACGCTCTGAAAGAGTTGTAGAAATCTGCTTGCAAGTATCTCCATGTTTGAAGGATTTAACAGTTTGTAATTGTATTATTTCAGGATAGACAAACGGATACATGGGTTTTGAAAGTGCTTTTATGTATTTGTTATACCATTGCCTTCACTGCTTCTATCCTTAATAGATACCTATTTATTACCATCTCTTACACTCAAGGTTGGTGTATTTCAGTTTATTTGACCAGGCAAGAGGAGGAGCAAATAATGTGTTTTCGCTACAAAACAAGGGTCTGGTAGATGAGGCAAAGCTTTCAGGTTCTGAAAGTCAATATGGATGAGGGGTCAGATTGGGAAAAGAGGCAGCAGACCTGCAAAGGGGGAAGGAACCTGCAGTGGAGGAGACCCACAAAAGAGAAAACACACTAAGACCCTTTTGGGGTGGGAGGAGCTGGGGCAGGAATGTCCAGTGTCAGCCAATTAGTGAGTGAGCCGATGTAATAAGTGGGCAACCAGGCTAGGCAAGCCCTTTGCACTCCCACAGGGCCCCCACCTCAGTCCAGCTAGAGAAAGGCAGCACCTGAGATGCACAAGGGGACAGTCAAATCCATAAGCACATTTATGTGTGCTGTATTAGTCAGGTTCTGCACAGGAATGGAAGCAATAGAATATATATCAATCTATTTGATTGGTTTAAGTGATCAGAGGCTAAAGAGTCCCACAGTGGCCTTCCAAGGGGGGGAGGGCAGGAAAACAAGTGGCTACTGAGTTCAAGAAGCTGGAAGTCGAAGAACAAGAGGGACCAATGGAGGGGTGCCAGACTGAGGCTGAAGGCCTGGAAGGCTCCTGGAGAATGCCTGGTGAAAGTGTGTGTTCAAAGGCTGAAGAGTCTGCAGGCTGATGTTTGCAAAGGATAACATCAGCATATCAGCAACCAGTGAATGCACTCAAGAATGGTCAAGTGAGCAAGGGAAGAGAACTTTCCTCTTCTTCTTCCCCGTTCCATCCAGGCCCCCAGCTAGACTGGCCAAATTCAGGGCAAGTCTTCACCCTTAGTTTACTGACCCACATACGGATCTTCTTTAGACACACCCTCAAGACACACCCCAAAGTGTGCTATATCAATCCTCTAGCTGTCTCTCAGTCCAGTGAAGTTGGCAACCAAGATTAACCATTGCATATGGCCTCCACTCATGCCATACCTGCCACCATGCCATTGCTCAGAGAACTTCACATGGCCACACTCCAGGTCAGGCATGGGAAGGTGCATTCTACC